TTAAGGCCCCCGTTCGCGCCGCTGCTCGAGATCGGTGCCCCCAAAAGTGCCGACACTTGGCATTACACCACCGTCACACGCCACCGTGAAGCCAGCGGACTCTGGGAAGTTGAAGACAGCTTCCCCCAAAAAGCCGGCAAAGAAGCCGACCAAGCATGTCGCAAAGGTGACGAAGGACGCACTCCACACGCCCACGAAGGCGAAGGCGAAGGCGAAGCCAGTGACGCCGAAATTGGGCACAAAGCCGGTGAAGCTGCGGCTGGCCAGCAAGCGTAGGCTAAAGGCGAAGGGGGCGCCGAAGGCTCCCAAGTCGGTGAAGCCGGAGGCTCCCCATCACGCGACGTCGAAGCCAAAGCGCAAGTGAGCTAACTGAAACTTCATTGCACAGTTAGACAAGGGCGGCGAGTAAATCGCCCCGAAGGATATAGAGCCCATACGGGCATGCTTTCTAAGGAATGGGTGGGTGGAGGGGGCAATCTTCAGGCGACTTTTTTTTTGTGTGTGTGTTTTTCGTTTTTTTTCTTGTTTCCTTGTGCCTCGTTTTTTTGTTTTTATTTTACTGATTCTGTTTTTTTTTCCTTTTTCCCTTGTTTTCTGCGTCTTCTGCGGGTGCCGGTAGTTACACGTCGTCCTATTCAACCTTTAAAAGAAGCCACACGAGTTTCTGCACATCGAAAACATGTTTCGACTCTCGTATCGTTTCATGGCACGCCCCGCTCTCCGAAAGGGGGCTGTAAAGGTTGCCAAGGCAGCGAAGGTGCTGCCTGCCAAGGGCCTGGGGCAGCCTGCCGCCTCGGCTCTTAAGGCCCCCGTTGCGCCGCTGCTCGAGATGGTGCCCCCAAAAGTGCCGACACTTGGCATTACACCACCGTCACACGCCACCGTGAAGCCAGCGGACTCTGGGAAGTTGAAGACAGCTTCCCCCAAAAAGCCGGCAAAGAAGCCGACCAAGCATGTCGCAAAGGTGACGAAGGACGCACTCCACACGCCCACGAAGGCGAAGGCGAAGCCAGTGACGCCGAAATTGGGCACAAAGCCGGTGAAGCTGCGGCTGGCCAGCAAGCGTAGGCTAAAGGCGAAGGGGGCGCCGAAGGCTCCCAAGTCGGTGAAGCCGGAGGCTCCCCATCACGCGACGTCGAAGCCAAAGCGCAAGTGAGCTAACTGAAACTTCATTGCACAGTTAGACAAGGGCGGCGAGTAAATCGCCCCGAAGGATATAGAGCCCATACGGGCATGCTTTCTAAGGAATGGGTGGGTGGAGGGGGCAATCTTCAGGCGACTTTTTTTTTGTGTGTGTGTTTTTCGTTTTTTTTCTTGTTTCCTTGTGCCTCGTTTTTTGTTTTATTTTACTG